TGTGTGCGTTGTGTCGGTCCGGTGCGGCGTGTTTGTGTGTTGTCGTGTGTGGTGTGTGTGTGTGTCTGTGTGTGTGTGTGTTGTGTGTGTGTGTGTGGATGGTGTCGTGTGCTGTTGTGTGTGTGTGTTGTGGTGTGTTGTGTGTGTGTGTGTGTGTGTGGTGTGTGTGTGTGTGTGGTGTGTGTGGTGTGTGTGTGTGTGTGCTGTGGTGTTTGTGTGTTGTGTGGTGGGTGTTGTGTGTGTGCTGTTGTGCTGTGTGTGTTTGTTGTTGTGAAGGTCTGTTATTATCGCCCTCTAACCAACCGTAACCCTTTTCATTTATAACTCAGTGTCCTCATTTATTGCCAGCCTCCCCCTTTCATTTATACCTCAGCGCCCAACCAATTTATTGACTCGTCCAAAGCCTTTCTCTCCTCCTTACAGACCTTCCTCCTTACAGAACAATATTCCTCTCTTCCCAACAATCTCCTGCAACCGCGTTCCTCTTCCAACGTAAAATCAAATCCCAGTATATCAGAGCTGCTATAGAACCTGATCTACTGACTGAGCCAAGCTATCGCATCTACATATATCGATACCTTCATATCCTGCAGAAGCCTCCTCTTTCTCTCGTTCTCTCTCTCTCTCTCTCTCTCTCTCTCTCTCTCGTACTCTCTCGTACTCTCTCCAGTCTTTCCCAGTCTTTCTACGTCCGCAGCTGAATCGACGACGACGGATTTCGGCGCCAGTATTGACACGTCTTTCACACACGCTAACTGATCACCACATCACCGCATGTTTTTCCCCGATGCAGCCGTTGACACGCGTGTGCGTATCTTCCTCTCTCTCTCTCTCTCTCTATCGCGCAGAAACACGAACTTAACGTTGTAAAACTCGCGTGCACGCTCACGCGCGTAGAGTAAGTAAGGAATACACGCGAGCAGCTGCTGCACACACACACACACACGCACACGCACACAGAGCGAACTCTCTGCCGCTGCTGCTGCTGTTACTACTGCCGCCGCTGCTGTTGCTGCTGTTACTACTGCTGCTGCTGCTGTTACTACTGCCGCCGCTGCTGCTGTTACTGCTGCTGCTGCTGCTGCTGTTACTACTGCCGCCGTCCCGCTAGCGAGTGAGTGAGTGTCGCATGTCGGCCTCTCGAACTACGTACGCTCCAGCGAACAAGGAGTGGTGGCGCGCGCATTCAGAATAGATCGGGTAATATAGCGGCCCCTGAGTAAGACAGCGTATAAATATAGGCCACCAGTCATTGAATGCGCGTGTGTATGTGTGCGCGCATGCAAATTCTACTGTACCTACCTGTACAACACCTACTGTACCTACCTGTACAACAGCGCCGCACCAGCAATAGCGCCGCCGCACTGCGCCACGATATAGAGGGCGCCGCGAAACACCGTCATCTTGCGCAGCGTGACGAAGGCCAAGGTCACGGCCGGGTTCATGTAACCTCCGGACACGTGCCCGAAGCAGTGGTTGAGCGTCGTCGCGACGAAGCCCGCCGTCAGCGCCACCTGGACGACGACGGCCGGCGCGGCGACGGCGGTCGCCGCGGCTCCGGTGGCGCCGCCCCACGGCACGACGGCGGCGCAGACGAGAAAGGTGAGAAAGAACGTCGCCAGACATTCGCCGATCGTCGCTCGCCAGAACTGCAGTGATTGTATCTCGTGGCGCATCTGCAGCTGTCGGACGTGCTGCGGTGGCGCCACCTCGTGGAAGCGTCGCAGCGCGTGCAGCAGGTGTCCCTCTGTCGTCATCGGCTCCATGTTTTGTGAGCGGTGAGCGGTGGCGCCCCCTCGTGGAAGGTGCGTAAGTTAGGGAGACGAGATGCTCACATGTAAAATCTGCGGGTACTCGTTCGTGTTCTTCCCGCCAGGTGTCTTCCGTTTCTCGCAGTTCTCCCTCGGCTTCTCTCACGCGAAACCTAAAGCAAGGTCTCTTATATCTATTCCACGGAGGAAAGGAATAGGGAAGGGAATTCTTCTTCTTCTTCTTCTTCTTCTTCTTCTTCTTCTTCTTCTTCTTCCTCCCTCCTGTTTGTCGTTTCCGTGGCGATGCGTGAAGTCAGCAGTGATGGGTGTTTAGAGTGTTACGAGTTTCGAATGTCTGTTGAGCCACTCCTGCGCTGGATCAACACAGAGGCAGACGCCGAGCTGTTGACTTTACCAACAAACGCGCTGAAAGGGAGGAGAAAAGAATCGCTATCACGGTCTGTTGATGGCGGAACTGCTCGTCCTAGCATCACCTGCGTGGCGATACTGCATCCGGGAAGGGAGAGAGGGAGAGGGAAGGTGGAAGGAGGGAGAGAAGGAGGGGGGGCCGGGTG